CCGGCCCCTTCCTCTGCATTTTGTTCTATTCAGATCCTCAAAGGATTGGATGATGTCCCCCCCACACACACTGAGGAGGGTAATCTTCTCTATTGAGTCACTGACTCAAATGTTCATCTCATCCAGAAACACCCTCACAGACACTCAAATTGACACATAAAATTAACTATCACAAACAGCATGTCAGCTTCTCTAAACCTTTTCTAACAGAGATGAGTTGGGGGCATGTTATTTCCTTCTAAGGAAAACAGGGGCATTAATAAAAGGTGTTTTGATGTGTTGGAGCATAAGGATTAGGTGTGATTTTATGAATCATAAATTTCAGGATGAACAAAGCACATTCTTCATTAGATATAAATTTTGATTTTTAAGAAGTTTTCCGAGGGCCAGCCCGGTGGCGCACTGCGCTAGTGCGCCGCTTGGGAAGCGCAGCGGCGCTCCCGNTCGGATCCCACATACAGACCGGTTCCCGCTCACTGGCTGAGCGAGGCGTGGGGGCAACACTCGGGTTGCGATCGCGTTGCCGGTCCCGGTCCAGTACGGGAGTGACACTGAGGGTTGCGATCCGTTGCCGGACACGGAAAAAGACAAAAAAAAAGAAAAAGTTTTCCGAATTACAGATTTGAAGAGGTGGAATGATTGGGACCTTTAGAGACTGAAGAATAAGCTCCTGTAGCGAAGTCTCATATCAGTGTATAATTTCTAGTAATAATATGCTTACTTTAAAGCCTGCTCTATTTGGTTCTAGAAGCCATTCCTTCTCTTTCCTTCTTTCTCTCCCTCTCCTGCCCTCCAAAACCTACAGCTTCAGTACATGTGACAGAAATCTAATTGTGAGCATCCCAGTCTTTGTAAATATGCAAACCTTTATAATCCCTATAATATTAATATCAGCATTACAGTCTTTTTACATGNTGTGGCAGAGACTCTCTTCGTTGAATCTCAGCCTCAAACCTCCCAAACCTCCTCTACCTGCACGTCTGTTAGTGCCTCCCGATGGGAACTGTAGGAGACACTTCTGTTGTGACTAGCTCTTCTTTACAGTCACTTTTTCTTCCTCCTTGACAAATAAATTTCCCTGGTAATTATAATTTTATCATTGATCTTCTCCACTTGAGTCCTCCTCGATTCCTTNAGCTCCTGTTTGTCAGCTTTGGCTTGTGGCACCCAGCAAACGTTACATGCCATACAATGGGTTACAGATTTTCCAATAATATCGAAATCTCAACCTTGAGGATAGTCTATTCTCACATTTGTTCCTTCTTGTATTCTTTCCCTTGGTAGTCAGTCCTGTTACCAGCTAATAATTCTGTGCATGAAAATTTCCCTTTTTGAATTATTGCTGGGTTTCTGCCTCATGCCTGGACCCTGACTGAAAAAAAGGGTCTTTTCTATCCTGCTGTCTCTTACTGCAAGCACTTCCACTATTTTGATCCAATTAAGGTGCAGAAGCTGTCAGGAAACATTCATGAGCGGGGTGGCATTACATCTTCGTTTAGACTTGATATAAGGCAATAAAAAAAGATTAAAGGGAAGCTATTTTGAAGGCATCTCTTAGATGAAATGGACAGAAATTTGTTAATAACTGGATCTGTAGGTGTTGCTGAGAAAGAGGCAGAAGGTTAAGATGGCAGCTTGTGGGACAGAATTCCATGGTGCAATCCTCCCATGTCTGCACTGCCTGCCCCAGAGACAGTGACAATAGAGGAATTAAGACCCTGTGGGGCAGAGAAGGTGACAGAACACAGCTGACAGGGAGTGAGAAAGCCTGGATATGAAAGGACCTGGAAATAGCAACAAAGAAACCAGATGGTCCTGGAGAGAGGAGCTGGGCTGAGTCTGGGATGGGACGCTGCAGGTGTTCACACTGTGTGACTGTGAGATTGTCTCCCCTACACACAAACACACAGGCCAGGCTCCACCTCCACGCTGCTGTTCATTGATCACCCCTTTGTACGAAACAGCCAGTGCTCACCACACAGAATGACACAGTTTCAACAATTTCAATCTCTCAAGCATTTATTAGACACTTCTTGTGTGCCCTCAACCAGCATCTCTGCACACAGAACTCAGTAATTTTGTGTCCATCACCTCAGTGATCACAGTCGGGTAATGTAAGAGCAGAGTGAAGAGGAAGCTCAGTACTTATTAGGCAGGCCAGCAGGTCTGAAGTGATTGGGGTCTCTGCCGCTCCGGCCCCATTGGTTGGCAGCCTGGTCAGCTGATGAATCCTCTGCTCCATGGCCTGTTAGTCTCTGAATGTTCTCTCTGGCATCACTGTAATTGAGGCAGGCAGGGAGGAGAATAATCACCAGGCTGATGAGCAACAGTCCACACTCCCAATTTTCTCCTTTCCAGGACATGGCTATGAGAGGAGCCCAGGAAGGAAGGGCTAAAACACTGACCCTGCCTGGGCACAGCCCTACTCAGCCCAGGCTGGTCTCCCTTATGCTAGATGAACAGCAACCAGAGAGGAGGGGTTGAGAATCACTCATTCCCACCAGCCACTCAGACCCCACAGTAGAGAAGAAGAGTGGGCAAGTGCAGGAAGGGCCACCGCCTCTACAGGAAACTGCCCTACAAGGAAGCTTGCCCCCTCCTGACTGTCCGAGGCAGTGAAGATCTGCTAACCTGTCCTTGGCATCCCCAAGAATCTGCATTACCTGATCACTTTAGCAGCCCAGGCACCCCCAGGTCCCCGCCGGGCAGCGTCGTAGTTCCCCCGAGCATGGAAGTATTTATCTGCATTTATGTAATTAGCTTCCTTCATGTCAGAGTAGGCTCTCCACATGTCCCAAGCCCCTGGAAAGGAGAGGAAAAGGCAAAAGTGATATCATCTGAACACAGAGACTCTGACAGCACCTTAGAGAGGAACCAAAGGATGAGAAACCTTCTACTGACTTCAAGATTGCAGCCTGTGATCATAGCACTCTTGGATACCATGGGTGAGAAGGACATTCCTTATCCTATTTGGCTTTTTCAAGTAACCCGAACGAGGGTCATTTAAATGGGACACACCTCTGTTGCTTGTCTGGCTCCTGTGGTGCTATGAGCTAAGTCGGGCTCTATGTTATATGTTTAAAGGAGAGAAAGGAGGTATCGCTAGAGAACAGGATTTGTCAGCTATAGCATTATTGAAATATTGGGCCAGATAATTCTTTGTTGTTCTGGAATGTCCTGAGCACTGTAAGATGTTTACCAGTATACCTGGTCTCTGCCCACAGGATGCTGGCAGCACATTCCCTCAGTGCGACAACCAAGAACATACGCAGACATTGCCAAATGGCCCCTGGGCCACCACATTTCCCCTGGTCAAGNCCACATAGGGCAACAAAACCTAAGAGAGTGACTCTGATTCTCAAGAGTACTCACAGTGAACCCTAGTGCTCATCATCCATCACCTTACCTTGACCAGCCTCACGAAGGAATGAAAGCAAACCGTGGGCTCCCAGGAGCAAGGAGCAGAAAATCAGGCCCGTGAGAAGCTTCATCCTGCTGAAATGAGAGTGGAAGGTTAGGAAGACACAAACAAGACTGGCACTTCCCCTTCAGGTATAAAAGACATAAAAGAGAGCCTGGTTGTTATTTCCATTAGTTCTAATCAGACTTTCACTGTTTCATCCAGGAAACCTTGCAATAGGACCTCAGTCAGAGCCACAAGCATTAAATTCTGCGCCCACCAGCCCTGAACCCAAGATTATAAAAGAGGATACCAAGGTGGCAACAATGAAAAAGAGGGGGTTTAGGACCAGATTGTCACTCCCTAAGGTAACCTGAAATGCACCAACAGCCCTCTGCCCTGCATTCGCTCTGTCCAGAGCAGACCTCACACGGATTAATACAAAGCAGCATAATTATTTTTAAAGGAAATTTTTGAGAGTAAGTCTTTCTCAAATATAGTTGGGAAAGAGAAAACAAGTAAATTAAACAAAAAAG